AAAAAAAAAAAAAAAAAACCTAAACAATTCAAGATTTATCAGCAATGAGGGAAAACAGCATTTGCAAAGGATATTTAAGTACGAACACACATGGGTGGACACTTGCATTTCACGTGAGGACATGGAACCACACAGAATGTTTTTAAAAAGTGGATGCTCTTTAAGTACTTTAAGAATGTATTAGAAAAAAGAATTGAAACCTGATAAAAATGACAGGCTGAACACTTCCCTGTTAACAGAACACCATTTTGAATCTACGCATACCTTCATGTCATGCTTGTGATTTGTATAGCACCTTAACTTGTACTTAGTTCATAAATTCATTTCTACAAAAGTCACATAATCACACAAGTTTTTCAGTGACAAGACAAACAGCTGGGGAATATTCTACCAACTTTAAAGGAAAAAGTTTCATTTAGATATTATTTTAGCTAAATTAAATGAGGCAGCAATGTTGACTCACACAAAATGTAAAGTTAACTAAAGCTTCCAGATCTTTCAGTAACTGATTGTTTTGTTTTGTTTTTGAGACAGAGCCTCAAGCTGTCTCCCTGGCTAGAGTGCCATGACATCATCATAGGTCACAGCAACCTCCAGCTCCTGGGTTCAAGTGAGTCTCCTGCCTCCGCCTCCCAAGTAGCTGGGACCACAGGCGCTCGCCACAATGCCCAGCTAATTTTTGGTTGCAGCCATCATTGTTGTTTGGCAGGCCAAGGCTGGATTTGAACCCACCACCTTAGGTGTATGTGGCTGGCACCTTAGCCACTTGAGCCAACGGCGCCGAGCCCAGTAACTGATTTCACTCAGGGTTTTCCCATGTTATACTTGTACAGGTGATTTTCCAAAAACCAAAGGGTACAAATGCATGTTTATCCTCAATCTTACCTGAGGTCATTTTTAGTTTTTACTTTTACACTCCCATGCCTCTCTATCAATCTATCTTCATCTTTATTTTGACAGTTTGACTTTGTCGCCCTGGGTAGAGTGCCGTAATGTCCCATAGCTCATAGCAACCTCAAACTCCTGGGCTTAAGTGATTCATTTGCCTCAGGCTCCATAGTTAGGACTACACAGGCACCCGCCACAAGGCCTGGCTGTTTTTTAGAGATGAGTTCTTACTCTTGCTGGTCTTGAACTTATGAGCTCAAGAAACCCACCGGCCTCCCACAGTGCTAAGATTACAGGTGTGATCAATCTATCTTCTGATTAACATATTTGAAACACAGATACAATACTTTTCTTACATGAAAGGGAAACTTTTTTCAAATTAAAGACTAGTTTTAGCTTACTATGTTTATATGCAAACTTTAGTATTACCACTTTTAAAAATGGTTAAAGAATACTTAAAACAACTTACCTTAGAGATTTAAATCCTCAGTATCAAACTGACCCACAAGATCATACTGTGATAAATGAGCACACAGCACCTTGTGGGGTCTGAGACCAGCTGAGGTCGGGTCACGGTGCAAATGGTAATAGCACAGAAAACATTTACCTTCCCAATGTGAAATACGTTTCACTGCCAGCCCTTGGCATTTTAATAAGCTCAGCAACATTCACAAGCAAATAAAAAAAAAAAATCAGGCACAGTGGCAGATTTCTTTAATAGTTATATTTCAAATAGGTACAACAAATGAAAACATCCTAGTTCACGGCAGGTCGACCTAGGTGCTCAGAGGTCAGCACGCGTGTCATGTGGGCTGTCAGGCTCTCCCAGCCTCCCACTTTGTGAAAAGGCCCCTCTTCACGCAGTGGCAACACAGGGGAGAGCTCCGCCACGCCCGAATCCACGGGGACATTACCACTTCTTGAGTGAAGGTCTCCTTTCCAAGGAACGCTCAGCCGTAACAAGAAAACATTAAGGCAAACAGCTGTTTTCCCACCCACAAAGCGGGCTCACCTGCAGTTCTAGCTTTCTTTACTCCAAAGGGCTCCGAGTCTTCCAAGCTTCTCTTTCGATTTGCTCCCACATTAATACGATTAGGAAATATACTTTGATGACCCCCATTCAAGATGCCATTATTATAGAAACGGTTCAGATGACAGTTCTGGAGGTTCAGGAGAAACTGGGCACACTCCTGGAAACCCTGGGTCTGTGCAATGTCTGCTGCCGTCAGGCCACTGGCGTTTCTCAGGCTGTGTGACACAGAAACACCCAATCACAGCCCGTCCGACGCCAGCTGGTCTCTGCTCCTGCCCAACTGACTAGCTATCTGAGTGACACCACAGAGTACACAAAATTTACAGCAAATCTCCATTAAAGCAGCAGGTCATCAACCTAGCTCTATAACTAACTTCTCTTTCACACATTTGATTTCTAAGCAAGATTTGGGAGATAGTAATTTAAAAAAATCAACATACTAAACTTAAAAAAAGGCATCTTCCTATTTAACTTCCCAAAATGACGTTTTCTTTTAAGTCTGAAGAATTTAAATTTATGCTAACTTCAGACTCTACCTGACACTAACTTCTATCTTATCTGCACTTAATTTTAATCACCCACTCCTTTAGCTTGAGTAAAATCATAACAAACAAACATGTACTAAATTGTCCATGGCATTCATTAACAACTGGCTTCCTAAAAATAAAAATAATGGCTTACCAACAAGCCAGATTTTATGCTAACATGTGACACTATAAGTGGAAGTTTAGAAGGACATCCTGACATGGAAATAGCTTATCAGATTTGAGATCTGAAAAGCTGTGTGTTTCTGTGCCTTATTTTGATTTTTTTTTGCTTTGCTTAGGAAATCTGCACAAGTATTCCATTTCAGGACTCCAGAACATCTGAATAGAAGTTTCCTTTGAAAAGCCTATCAATAGTCCTAAAAACTTGTCCCCTAGGCTAAGAGTCCTACCACTTAAAAGAACTGACATTTTACTTGCTGAATCATTAAAAAGCAATAGTCTCTGTCTTCTACCATGACTAAGACTCAGATTAAAGCAGGCAATGAGGGCTTAGAACATAGGGGAAAGGTATGAATAAAATATGGAAGAGTAAGTTGAACTTATCAACCTTTAGGACACTGAATTAAAACTGAGGGACCAAAAGCAACTCCATGTTGAAGTTCCCCTGGAAGACAAGAATATACACTGTTCTGTGAAATAAACCTGTAAAAAAGCAAACATTCTGTTAGCTTCAGGATTATAAACTGAAACGGGAGAAGCACTACACAGCAGACAGTCCCATACCTGTTCATAAGCAGCGCCAGGCACACAGCAAAGCGTGTCACTGAAATAACCTACCTAGAACCCTGAGGCTTGTGTTCCTTGGGGCTATACAAACACACATACACACTAAAGACCTCAAACTATCTGACAATGAAAACTTGAAAACAAAAAAATGTTTTTGTTTTAACTTTGTCAGAATAACAAGAGCCTTACATTTCTATTTCCAGTCATCTACACAGTTCTAACTTCAGCAATGAAATACCTATGTGGACAGGTACTGAACTCGTCTCTGCTTTTTAAAGCATGAGAAATGTACACTGTGAAGAGCAAACCAAACACAATTCTATCAAATATAAAAGAGGCAAGACTTGAGAATCCGAGAAATCAACAAAATGGTTCAAAAATATAAGGCAGCTGTGTGCAGGACCATCAGGGATCGACACTGACATTTGCCACAGGACTGTGAGGCTGTGAATTCTGACTGTTATCATTCTAGTATTTCATGTTTTTTATTTTGGTATAGATTTAAATGGAAAGGGAATAGCAAAGTATAGGCAGATTATATTAAATCATAATGTAAATTATGTATCTGTACAAAATAAAATCAACTAGTTACACAAATATTAAATACAGCTTGATTTTTTAGAAATGTCATTTTCAAAAGACATCAGAAGTGAAGAAGGTCTAGCAGGTCTACCCTTGTCAAGAATGTGAATAGAAAAATATGAAAATCTTAAAACTCTCCAGAATTTGGAAAGATGAAGACTGAGAACATAAAGTTTATAAAAATGATCATTTCTATAGAAAGCATGGTCCTGCTCTCCAAAATCAAAGAACACAGAAATGACCAGCCGTCACTTAATACCAGGACAAATCAAAGTGCAGATTAATGAGGCTGACAGTAAAAACCACTCTTGGTGGATCAGAGAAAGAAGAACAGCAAACAGATTTTTAAAATGGGATCTACAATTACAAATGCCAGTTCACTGAGGAAAACCAAGCAGCTTAGGGGCATGCCAACCTTCTAAAGTTGCTAACAGGTCCCTAAAACACAATCACCCCCTTTCCTCCACACTCAGAACCTGAACACTAGTCCAACTCTGGGTTACAACAGTTAAGTGTACTGTTTTTCCAAGGAAATGTAACCTGAAAAAGCACAAAATAACGCCCAGACGTGAAAATTACTGGAGATTTTAAATGTCTGGGAGTATTTGACTACTGGTTAATACTAACAAGGCCTGCCCCTGCCCAAAAGCAGTCACACACTGCATGGCATGGTACTTGCACTAGAGCCAACCAAATTCCCGTGCGGCGTGAGGCATCATCTTAAAACTTACTTAACTAAAAAGAGTTCACAAGAATTACTGCCAAAAATTACTGCCCATGCTATGCGCTCCTATGTATGGACTAAGCAAGCAGGAAATAATCACAAATCAAACAACTTCTGGCTTCTCACATAATTTGGGGGCGGGAGGTGCTGAAAGTTAGACCTGACAGGGAGATAAAAAGTTCTAGAAAGCGTGTAGGGTAGACACCAGAACCTGTAGCACACAGTGCTCATAGTGAGCTGTGTGAGATCTCCACTCTGGCTTCTCCATTACTGGGCACCGAGTGTACAGCATGTCATCCAACTGAGTGGCACAATGTCCTTATAGAGTCTGCTAATGCCTAACTCTGCACCCAATAAAGCCAGCGGTCACTCCTTTCACAGACGCCCCCCTCCTCATTTCCTGCTTCAATATCCCCTCTCTAATCCCTGTTTGAAACATCCTAATTCTTATCTGCTCACGTTAAAAAAAACTTGTAAGTGGTGGCTCAACTGCACAGTGCACAGAGCAGAAATGGGCCTAGATGGTCACCAGCGCCACCTAGTCCCCGGGAGGGCTGTTACCCACAACAGACCGATGTGAGTGTTTCAGCCTTCACTGGTCACGCACCCTCAGACAATTGAGTGTGGCTAGTTATGGACACTGAATTTCGTATTACATACGATTTTATATTGAGAAATACTTTCATTTTTGTTTAGTCATTTAAAAATGTTAGCTTATAGACCATACAGAAAAAGGCAGGCCAGTCTGGTGAATGACATTTAATCAAATATAGGGCACTGTAACTATTCTATTTTTATTCTTATTTTTAATGACCCACAACTGTACACATTTATAAGGTACACTGTGAGTTTCAATACTATGCACAGTGACGTTTGTGTAACTAGTATATCCATCACCTCAAACATTTATCATTTATCTGTGTTGGCAACGTTCAAAATCCTCCCTTCTTGCTATTTAAAAATGTTATTGTTGACTACAGTCCCCTGGAGCACCGGAAAAGCCCAGAACTTACTCCTCCTGTAACTCTGTATCCTTAACTAATCTCACCCTAATCTCCTCCTCCTTCCCAGCCTCTAGTAACTACTAACTTACATTAGTGTCCACATATGAATGAGACATACAGCATGGGTCTGTGTCCGGCTCATTTCACTTAGTGTAAGGCTTTCTAAGTTCTTGTTGTGAATGACAGAACTTTCTTTTTTAATGGCTAAATAATATTCCACTGTGTGTATATGCCACATTTTCTTTATCCATTCATCTGTTGATGGACATTCAGGCTAATTCCAAACCTGAGTGGTTGTGCCTAGTGCTGCAATAACCACTGAGCGCAGGCATCTCTCTGGTGTCTGGTTTTCTTTCTTTTGAGCCTGCACCCCGGGGTGAGACAGCAGGTCACATGGTGCTTCTGTTTTCAGCTTTTCCAGGACCCTCCAGAACTGTTCTCCGTGGTGGCTGCACTAGCTCTCATCCCCACCAGCACTGCTGTGAGATTCCTCCTCATGCGTCCTCACCAGCAACTGCTGGTTATCTTTGATTAACAGCCATTCTAACTGGGATGAGACGACATCTCATTGAAGAAATCTTTTACCTTTTATTCTACTCTTTATAATGGATTTTCTGAAAAATGTCTATTAGTCTTAAATTAATTCACTATTAAATTCAAAAGGCAACTTTTTAAAAGTTATAGACTCTGTCACAAAGTGCTAAACACCAAGAAAAATACCTAAAAGTAAACCTCAGAAGGACGTAAAACAAAGACCTGGAGAGACACAGGGAGGGAAACCACCTTCCTCCTCCACGCCAGTGTTTCCGTCACACTCCAGCGCTCACAGCGGCATCAGGCAGCTGGTTCACCTGCACAAAGCAAGATCTTCAAACTGCTCTGTACAGTTTAATTTCAAATGCATTCTAGAGGCTGAAGATCATGCAGGTTCCAAAGTTAAACAGATGAGAATATCATTAAATTATACAATTCTCAACATGCTTTCACTTAACAAAAGATGAGGTCTTAAATTTTATTATTTTCACATATACCTTCCTGTTAAGCAATTCTTTCAATTTTGATGTTTTAATAGTTGAACAGTAATCCTAGCTAAAATGTGTTAAATTTATTAAATCTTCAAATTCCATTTAGTGTTCCGAGATTAAGTACACATTAAATCTAAACTATTCTGGTTTATTTTCCTAAAATCAAAAAATTGGGCACACAAATAAACACCTGATTTTTAGGTTCTATGTGAATTCCACATTTGAATCCAGTACTTTGCTCTGGCATAGTATTCTCAAACCAGCCCATCCTTCACCCTTGATCTGCAGGTATTTACTGAGTGTACTGTGTGACCACAGGGCCCGCTACCTGCTGGCAGCTCCTATGACCCCGTGAGGTGGGGTAAAGACAGCACCCTTCTGCCTGCCCTGCAGTGTTACACACAGTACTTCAAAGAGGACTTATGGAAGACATTGCTTAAAAAGATTCTCAAAAACTGTATTTTGAATGAATACTGTAGTAGCTGTCAAAGTGTCCACGTTATCTCTAGACTGAATCTTTGAAGTGTGTACCTTCTGGATTTAACCTCAGTTTGCTGCACATAGGCACAGACTGTGTCCACCTAAGGATGAGCCTGTTCATTTCTG